CCGCTCACCTCGAGCCAGGACACCACGGTGGGGCCGTCCCAGGCGGCGAAGGGCAAACCCTGGCGGCACGCCTCCTCCAGCAGCTCGTGCCTGCAGACCCCTCCCCAAATTACCCAAAACCGCCGGAATTCACCCCAAAAACCCCCCGGGACCCCTCCCCAAAGTAACGAAATCGGGACCCCCAAAATCCGCCCCAAAATCCCCCAAATTCACCCCAAAATCCCCCAAATTCACCCCAATATCTCCCGAATTCACCCCAAATTCACCCCAAAACATCCCCGGGACCCCTCCCCAAATTACCCAAAACCGCCGGAATTCACCCCAAAATCACCCCAAAATCCACCCCAAAATCACCCCAAAATCACCCCAAAATCGCCCCAAAATCTCCCAAAATCACCCCAAAATCCCAAATTCACCCCAAAATCCGCCCCCAAAACAGCCAAAATCATCCCAAAATTCACCCCAAATTCACCCCAGGTCGGAGACGTCCCCGTGGAGCAGCCGCACCCGATCAACTAAAATCACCCAAATTCACCCCAAAATTCACCCGAATTCATCCCAAAATCCATCCCAAAATCACCCCAAAATCACCCCAAAATCACCCCAAAATTCACCCCAAAAACGGACAAATTCATCCCAAAATTCACCCCAAATTCACCCCAGGTCAGAGACGTCCCTGCAGAGCGGATTTTTGGGGATTTTGCGCTGATTTTTGGGAATATTTTGGGGATTTTTTAAAGGATTTTGGGGCTGATTTTTGGGGCCTATCCAGGACACTTTGGGGTGGATTTTTGTCGATTTTGGGGCGGATTTTTGGGGCGAATCGGGGGCGTTTTGGGGTGGATTTTTGTGACTATTTTGGGGCTTTTGGGGCTGATTTTTGGGGATTTTGGGGCGGAATTTTGTGAATATTTTGGGGGTTTTGGGGCTGATTTTTGGGGATTTTGGGGCGGAATTTTGTGAATATTTTGGGGGTTTTGGGGCTGATTTTTGGGGATTTTGGGGCGGATTTTTGGGAATATTTTGGGGCTTTTGGGGCGGATTTTTGTCGATGTTGGGGCGGATTTTTGGGGCTAATCGGGGGCGTTTTGGGGCAGATTATTGGGAATATTTTTGGGCTTTTGGGGCTGATTTTTGGGGATTTTGGGGCGGATTTTTGGGGCGAATCGGGGGCATTTTGGGGTGGATTTTTGTGAATATTTTGGGGCTTTTGGGGCTGATTTTTGGGGATTTTGGGGCGGATTTTTGTGAATATTTTGGGGCGGATTTTTGGGGATTTTGGGGCAGATTTTTGGGAATATTTTGGGGCTTTTGGGGCGGATTTTTGGGGCGAATCGGGGGCGTTTTGGGGCAGATTTTTGGGAATATTTTGGGGGTTTTGGGGCTGATTTTTGGGGATTTTGGGGCAGATTTTTGGGAATATTTTGGGGGTTTTGTGGCTGATTTTTGGGGCCAATCAGGTGTGTTTTGGGGCTGATTTTTGTCGATTTTGGGGCTGATTTTTGGGGCCTATCTGGGACATTTTGGGGCGGATTTTTGTCGATTTTGGGGCTGATTTTTGGGGCGAATCGGGGGCGTTTTGGGGCAGATTTTTGTGAATATTTTGTGGCTTTTGGGGCGGATTTTTGGGGCGAATCGGGGGCGTTTTGGGGTTGATTTTTGGGAATATTTTGGGCGTTTTGGGGCTCACGGTGGCGCTCCGGGACCGTGGCGGGGTCGGGCTCGAGGTCGAGGATCCGCAGCTCCCGAAGCTCCGGCGCCGCCTCCAGCAGCACCTGCACCAGGTGGGAGCCCAGGAACCCCGCGCCGCCCGTCAGCACCAGCACCAGGCCCTGGGGGAACTGGGAATCAACTGGGGATACTGGGAATCCCAAAATCCCAAAAAAAACCCAAAATCCCAAAAAAAACCCTAAAAAAATCCCACCGGGAACGGCCAAAATGGCCAAAATTCACCTGGGAATCGTCAAAATCCAACTGGGAATCGTCACAATCCAACCGGGATTGAACTGGGATTCAACTGGGAATACTGGGAATCCCAAAATCCCAAAAAAACCCCCAAAATCCCCAAAAAAACCCCAAAAAAATCCCACCAGGAATGGCCAAAATCCAACTGGGAATCGTCACAATCCAACTGGGAATCGTCACAATCCAACTGGGAATCCTGGGATTGAACTGGAATAGAACTGGGAATACTGGGAATCCCAAAATCCCCCAAAAATCCCCAAAATCCCAAAAAAAACCCTAAAATAATCCCACCGGGAACGGCCAAAATGGCCAAAATCCAACTGGGAATCGTCAAAATCCAACTGGGAATCGTCAAAATCCAACTGGGAATCCTGGGATTGAACTGGGATTCAACTGGGAATACTGGGAGGGAACTGGGAGGCAACTGAGGATACTGGGAATCCCAAAATCCCAAAAAAAACCACAAAATCCCAAAAAAACCCCCAAAAAAATCCCACCGGGAACGGCCAAAATGGCCAAAATCCAACTGGAAATTGTCAAAATCCATCTGGGAACCCAAAAAGTTCAACTGGGATTGAACTGGGAATACTGGGAGGCAACTGGGAATCCCAAAATCCCCCAAAAAACCAAAAAACCCAAAGAATCCCAAAAATCCTCCCAAAAAAATCACATGGGAATGGCCAAAATTCAAATTTCAACCCCAAAAATGCTCCTGGAGGAGCCCAAGATGCCAAAAAAAACCCCGAAATCCCCAAAATTCTGCTTGGAGACCCAAAATTCCTTAAAATTCCTTGAAATTCCCCAAAATTCACCCGAATTCCCCTCCCCCACCCGGAAGCGGCTCTGAACTCGCCCCAAATTGCCCAAAATTCGCCCCAAAATTCCCCCCCAAAAAAATCCCCAAAATTCACTCCGGGACCCCCAAAATTCTCTCAAAAAAATCCAAAAACCCCCCCCCAAAAAATCCCAAAATTTCCCTCCTAAAAAAAACCCAAAAGT